GGGGTTTTATTTTCGAAGCTTTCGAGATTAGCAGGTTACGGGATGAATATTCGATCGTTGAGTGTGTAGGTATAGTAGTTGTGATTGTTCTGGTTGAGCTTCTAGTGGTTGGGCGGTAGGAGGGTGTGTGAGCAGAGATTTTGATTCAGATTGCATCTGAATCTGTGTCCGCTGATCTTGAACATCTCTGATATTCTCATCGATATGTATGGTTGGTGGTCCGGGTTGTTTGTCCTTTTGCTGGTGTAATAGCGATGGTGATGCCACTGCTGCTGCTGCTGTTGGATTTCCTTCAGACCTAGTTACCACTTCTATCCGCGGAAATAGCTTCTGGGATTCTTGATTCTCTGGTTTGGTTGGCAGCAGGGTCGATTCCGATCCCTTCGACGTGACTTCAGAAGATTCCGGGATCGCTTCGGTCATTGATGTTCCTTCCATTGATACTGATTGAGACGGTGGAGTTTTTGAGGGTGGTTCAAGCACCGTCGAGGATTTTGATGCTTCAGGTACTGGTCCCGGTACTGGTTGTGCCTGCGTAGAAGATGGCGTTTGACCAGATATGGCAGACACCTGCGCTGTATCATCTTTCATAGCGGCGTAAATATGAATCCCATCCAAAAAATTTGATGGCTCTTGCGGCGATGTAAAAGTGATCTGCTGTTCCGGTTGGCAATCTTTGATCGATTCCTGCGTTTGCCCCTCTACTGCCGGTTTCCCAGCCGGCGTACCTGGACCTTTTTCCTGAAGTGGTGGGATAGTTTTATCACCACCTTCTTCCCCAACCCTGTCTGTCTTCTTAGATTTCCCCCTCCTAGGAGAATGATCATTATCCTTAACACCCTTTTTTTTCTTCTCCACCTCCGGCACCCGTCTAATTTCCTTCGTACCGACCTGTGTCAGTTTCCCATTAACCCATTTCGCAAGTCCGCTCCACCATGTCGCAACAGCGCCTTCCAGCCTGCGATTCTGCAACGCGGCTAATTTCGCCTTCTGCTCCTCACTTCGTTTTCTCTCCATCTGTTCCCACCGGTTCAAGCTCTTACTATTCAGCCTCTCCGTCTTTGCTGCCTCCACCAATCGCTCCTGCTGCGTCATCACCTTCGGTTTCAATTTTTCCTTGCGCCTTGCGGCCTCCTCCATCGTTGCTATCAGCCTCACTCGTCTCTGTTCACTATCCTTTAACCTAGCGTGCGTGAGCTCCTTGTTCTGCATCGTCTGCCTTCTAGACGAGGAACGAGTTGGACCATCATCTGGCGTCGGCAACCACGATACCCGCTCCGATTTCTTCTTAGGGCGCGGGTGCACACCTCCAGTCTCACTGGCCTCCTTCGTCGCGGTCGAGTCAATCTTCACCCTCTTCCGAAACGCCGGAATCTTCATCATACTGTCCTGCTCCTTCCGCTTCCTCGCCAGCCGCTCCGCTCTAGCCTGTCTCTCGAGCTCCTTCTCTCCTTCTAGCTCATCCTCCTGCGCATTAGGGCCCTGGTCATCTTCGTCATCTGATGAAGAATCAAGTTGCATGTCATCCACTTCATCCACAGCAACTTCACCTTCCTCCCCCGCAGCACCTTCATCGCCACTTGTGAATTCTTCATCATCTTCATCTTCCGCGAACAGAAGGGCGAGTTCGTCGTCGGCCTCTGCATCAAGAAGCGCACCCATGTTCTTGCCCGCGGTGCTCCGCCGGGCTCGTCCCTCCACAAGGCTTTCGACGGGTTCGTCATCGGAGCTGGTGCTGGTACTAGTCATTGGTGAGTCGTCTGGTGCCATTGGAGCTAAGGGGTATAGGGAAAGTGGGCAGGTCTGCTCGATGGATATTGGCGCCTTTCGAGAAGGACTGAAACGTGCTTGGAGATATTACGACGATAGTTAGATATAATTTTCTATAGAAGAGGAAACGTGATCGGTGGCGGCGGCATATCTCCACAGAAGTTGGAAAATTGTAGGCGCACTAAGGGTAGACGCGACGTATGAACTGAGGAATATTCTATTAAACCATTACCCCTTTATGGTGGCAGCCGACAAGGGATAATAAAACAGAAACTTTTCCAGCTGTTGTATTTTCCATCTCTTTGGAGTCAAAGATGCTTGCTTAGATAAACAACGTCAAATTGTGGCTAGTGGATTCCAGACGCCACTTTAAGGTTTGTGCCACACAACCAAAGACGGATGGCATCTTTAAAACTCAAACAAATCCCCCCCTTGACGCGTCTACACCCTCATGCTTGGAATCTTCGATTTAAGTATGCAAAACAAAAGTCTTACGACAAAACTCGACCCCAGACCACCCTTTTACTGAATATTGAGTGACCGTTACCATTTGACTGAGAAACATATATCCCATGTTTTCGAAGTCTAGACCTATGGTTGTTAGCCAAGGCTTCCTGGATACCCCCAATATTAGGTATTATTAGCTGCTGGTAAGGATTGGTAGGACAAATGAATTTGGTTTCCCCCTTATTCTCCACAGGCGGCTTAATTTCCCTAACGCTGAAGGGTCCCAGGAGTTTTGGTGAAAAACATGTTTCATAAACCGAAACGTTGGGCGATTATTGGATGATGATAATCTGTTTTTCATGCATGCGAATCAAGTGCAGCATTTTTCGTGGTCCCTTGTTTTGTTTGGCTGTTGAGCCCGAGGATTACACTGAGATGCGGGGTGCGGGATTGAGATAGTCATGACCATTTATACGTAGATGTATGCCAGTTGATAGCGGAGGTGAGGCATGGCGTGCTATCTATGGGTTTCTGTCCAATTTTCGATACTGCAGGCACAGAGCATGTTCTGTGAAGGTTCGGCTCCCGTGGGATTGGGTTGATTGGTAAGAAATAACTAACTCACGGGTTTGAAACCCGGTCTGTGGCTGCGGGGACGGCAAATGTGATGCACGCTCTTCGTTGGCCCGAAAAATAATAGGGAGAAAGAACGAGATTATTTATTTCAACTTACTTTGGTCGGAGTCCATGTTGACGTTTCAGCCATATATGTGTATCCTGGGAAAGGGAGTGGCGGGCCGTTTTCTCTAAGCCACCCATGAGGACACAAAAGGGTCTCAGAAATAGCCGGGAAATGGACCGCAGGTTGTTGTCAAAGGGATCAAATGCTCAAAGACAAGAGGATTGTGGCTGATATACGGAGTAATCGTGTGGGTGCGCCACACCAAAACGATAAAAACACCGAAACGATAAAAATCTTGAATAACATCCTCATTATTGCTCTCTATATCAACAACCAGTAGCTAATCTATAATAAAAAGATTATCTACATCATTCTCAGTATGTGTGCCATCTCTAAATCGATTTAATTCCTCTTCCATCAGTGGTGTGAGTGCATCATTGCCAATTTTCATGGGACCAGCTCTCCAAGTCTCCACCTCATTCTATTTTGCTCTTTTTCAGCTTCATTATCCTTGCACTGCTTGATTTTTCTATTGGCATCTTTAATAGTGAGAACTTTCTCTACTTGAACCTGGTGATGAGTTGTTTTAGCTCTGTAGTGTTTACTGATATTGAGATAGTTCTCTAATTCAGTGATCTGTTGCTCATTAAATTCCATGTGAGATAGACTAGCTTTAAATATCTTGTGTAAACAACATATCAAGATGAGTGATTTTGATTTCAGAGTATTCTTAATATTTTATATGGCATTCTCTGCAATATTAATATAGTGTTTCAGTTTTTGAATTGTCTTTAATGAAGATAGCTGAGAAGATGAGATAGATATGTGATTTGAATCATCATCATTCTCATCATAAATCTGCAGTGGAGGAGATGATGAGACTCATTGCTTAAGAGCATCAAAAACTTAGTCAGAATTTTATGAATATATGCTGTATAAAGCTCATTCTGCAGCTATTATATTAGATTTAAAAACCTGCTTTCATGTAGCTGAGAGATTTTATAGAAACTGCTGTTTTTCATACTTATCAAGATCATGACACACAGCATTATTGACTGCTTTTGAATGATAATGCTTATATTGCTGAAATGATAGACTATTCAAAGGTTGTAGTAAATGAATGATATGTGAAGAAAATCTGTATAAAATTATTCTATGAAGATTCACATATTGTATGAACTTCTTTGTGATATGAGATTTATAATTATTCATTAAAAGCAATCAATGAATTCTCTGCTGTCTTTTTTTTATAGCAGTATTGAAGTATTTGAGCCATTCAAAACTAATCTCATCATTCATAAATTCAGTGTGGCGTACTTACGCCCCCTATCCACCTTTGGCTTCTGCTCCACCCCTTGCTGCTTCCCGGAGCTTCTGCTCCTACCTTCCCTACAGAGAGCTTCCACTCCTACCTTCTCTATAGAGCCTCTGTCCTTTCCCTTGTATGCAATCACTCCTTCTATGAGAGTTGATCTCTGTAAACAATCACTGTATATATATAGGGGCGTACGCCCATCTCCCATCTTTTAGAGAAAGAGACGTGTTCATACTCATAATTTGACCCCTACGTAGCAGCGTACGCTACATTCAGTATCTGATATAACAATTCTATAATTACTGAATAAATCTGTGTATATCAATTTTTCTAGTGTGTTTTTGAGGCTAAGATCACCAACAGTAGAATGATATGATTATTCATGAATACACATTCAATAAGTGTGATCAATCCTTTTGAAAAGAAAGAAGAAATGATGGAATTGATCTTTTTAAAAACAGTTATAACTCATTCTCCACATCTTTGACCTTCTTGAAATTTAATCTCATCAAAGTTGTACACATTGCAGGTGTGAAATCGATACTGTTTAAATAGAATTTAAAGACATTCAAAACCATGTATTGATATAGTCAATATCTTCAACTGCCACTCTCTTTGAATCCATGGGCTTCTGCTTCACTCTCTTATACTCAGATAGATGTTCAATGAATCTATAAGTTCACATTTTGTTGATTTTTAAGAGGGAGGTAGTAGGATCTGTATGCTGGCGTCTGAGGATTGAATTCATAAAATCTTCAATGTGTTCAGCTATGGGGGGGCAATTCAATTTATCTAGCAGCTTGATCCATCATTTAATTGTGTCCTTCTGACTTTCATTTAACCTCTTATTAACTGGGGTCTTTGCAGTATTCGGATTCCTTCCATTGATACGCGCTCGGAGCCGTTGATAAGGGACCTCAAATTCTCGCGACAGAGGCAGTATTTTGGAATTTGGGTTTTTTTGATGGTAAGTGACAGCTTTTTGCATGCGTTCTTCAATTGTTTTATCCTTATTTGACATTGTGGTGGGTTATTAATTAATTAAGAAGATGATGTTGACCCTAGGCTGCCTATCACGGACTAGCGCACCGCACATATATGCCTCAGCTGCCGACATGCTAATACAACCACTTAGACGTCCCACAGATGAGAATGATGAAATTACAAGATATTTATCGTTTCGGTGTTTTTATCGTTTTGGTGTGGCGCACCCACACGAGGTGTGGGTGCGCAGCGGCACGATTACAGAGCGTTGCTTTGTCCGTTCTGATCTCGAACTAAACAGGACTTCGCTCCTAAACGGCGCTAAACCGCTTGTGGCCAGCCCAAACAGCTGCCATAAGCCTCATCCTGATCACTTCCTCTTCCACTCGATCAACCTTCTCATCCTCATCCTCCATCCTCAACTTCATCTCTTCTTCTTCCCTTCTTTCCCTGTCTCTGCCGTCTCTTCTTCACCCTCCTCTATGTCCCATCCCGCGTCTCTTCCGTCTACTTCGCATTTTCAAGTCTCCTTTTCTTTTCCATTCATTTTTTTCTCCCTGCCTTACTAATAAACTCCCCCCCTTTTAGCCCTTTTCTTTGACCTCCACCACCGCCCCCTGACTGGTGCTTTTGTTCGCTCACGTCTTCCACGCTTAGTTAACCTACCTGCTTTGATTCCTCGAACAAGCCTCATCAATTTGTGTCTAAGACCTTTGCCTCCCTAGAATTCCTCCACGTCCACTGTCTCGACGACATACTATTCTACCTTTGCTTACGCCTGGCTTCGGACATTTTCCACGGCGTCTTTTTCGATAGATTTTTAATAAACTGGATATGTTTCTGTGAAGAGACCTCAGTCATCTCTCCGTCTTACTCTGCTTCTATAACACCACGCGGCTCCAAATATAACTCACCTAAAACAGAGTCTGTCTAATTACGACCTTATTGCCCAGACCTCCGTTCGTACTTTGCCCCATCCTGCTTTGAAACTACAGTCGATATCGATTCGTGCGTTCCTTCGGCGTAATATCTTTGATTCAGCTTCCTCAATAACACCCTGCAGGGCTATCTATCCGTCCATTGCAGTGCGATCTGAGTTGCTCGCCATCGAGTGTTGGAAGTTTATAATCGAGATAATTACATTTTCTGCAATACCTGCGTAATAGACACCTGGATCGAACGGTCCGTTTGAGAGATCTACAGGCCTAATATATTATTGCCTATGATTTTCCCAAGCTCTAGAGATCCCGCAGCTCCTATTCGATCCGACGCTTGGTAGTCCTATCTTCTCCGAGAGAAGTTTGAGATTTTGAAAGTAACCTTCTACCCGGGCTTAAGACAACTTAATCTATAATGGCTCCTTCCTCCAGGCCCGATGGCCATCTCAACCTCAACTACCTTCCTGCTTCGCAACCAATGTCCGGCACCTCGACCGGAAGCTCGTCGCCGAATGAGCAGCCGGGATCAAATTCTATGAAATCCTCCTTTGGAAGTTCAAATGGGTTGAATAACGCTGGAGGACCTCTCGGAAATGCCAGGATCGGGGCTGGTTCCCCTTCTCATGACCTTGGCGCTCGTTTGTTCTCGAAGAGGTAAGGCTCTGTCTTCATTTTACGTTAGTGCTTGCTATTGCTCTGGCTAACAAGGTTCTACTTTGTCACCGTCGTTTAATAATAGAGCTCGAGAGATTCAGGCTCAAGAAGGACTTGCTCCAAATATCTGGGGACCTCCAACTAGCGGCAACTCGACGCCACTTCGAGAGAACATCCCGGAATCCCCAAGTCAAGATGAATTCCCTGAGTTGGTTTCTGCGCCAAAAGGCAATCTTACCAGTCCTGCTCGAAGAACGAGAGCAGGAACAGTTCCTTCCCGTTTTTCTCCAGTTGGCACGTTAAATGGTGTTGGTGCTCAATCATTTACGTCAAAAACATCGAGGCCCACACCGTCAACAAGCCCGTTCCGACCCCCTGCGGTGGCAGGTATCGACTGTTCTAGCAGATCTTCGGGTGCTGGGAGCGGAAACAATACAGCCTTACTTTCACGCCTTCGTGCCGGGTCCATGCCACAACGTACAAGTGTACTTGGAGGTTCGAACCCTTTCGGCCCTTCTTTGTTTTCCACCAACTGGTCATCGGGGAGAGAGAGAGCAACTACTTTAACAAGTATCAGATCATCGGAGGGACCCACGTCACCGGCCCAGTCATCATTTTCAAGAGATGGTCTCGCGGACGCGGACGTTAAAACTTTAGACTACCTTGGTCTTGCTGAAACTCCACAGCAGGCCCGAGCACAACTTGTGCGCCCATCTGTCGACCAGCTCATGCAACAGCAACAACAGCAGCAGCAAACAGACATCCACTTTACCCCCGCTTCTTGCTGACCTGGTAATGATGAATAAAAATTCCCAACCGCTTCCGCTCCTATTCTGTAATGCGAAGGGAGAAATATGCCGAAGATGACGAGGACCATTATGGGCTCCCGTATGCGGGTGTTCCGTCCGGGACATTAACACCTTCAGCTGCTGCAACTGCTGCCCAATTAGCCGGCGACCCAGGCACAAAATTCATCAACCACAATTTGGCGGTCCAGGCAATTTGGCCAATCAATGCTTCTTGCGAAGTCGTCCACCGTGCCCGCACTGCTGGAGTTTTGGATACTCTTGCTCAGCGCTCATCGATCCGCAACTATCTAGCCACTCCATCCAGACTTGATAATAGCCTTAGTATTGCAGACCTACGGATTTCGGAGACAGCAGAATATGACGATCTCCCAGAAGCAGTTCAGATGTTGCAGTTGGGTGACATGCAAAATTTGCGACAAGGCCAGGAGATCTTGGATGAAACTAATCTAGATGGTCCTACTCGAGCATTGTGGATTGGCAGCATTCCCGTCTCAACAACGGTGACTTCCCTTGACGCTATTTTCAATGTGTATGGCAAAATCGAGTCGACCAGGGTTCTGATCTATAAGAACTGCGGATTCGTGAATTTTGAACGAGTGGAAAGTGCGATTCAAGCTAAGTCCCTTCTGAATGGCAAAGAAATATTCCCAGGTGCTGGACCAGTACGGATCGGCTATGCGAAAGTGCCGGGGACATCTGGTACCGGCACCCCTGGCCAAAACGGTGACCACCAATCGCCCACTCCTGACCCAACCTCCAGTGGCTTAGGTCGTGGTGGAAATAATCCGGATGTGCAAGATGGGACTTCCGGGACGGACACTGCAAATGGCCCTGGCCCTAATATACCGACTATTCCACAGTTGGCCGAATTACAACCAGAAATGACACAGATCGTTGCCGAATTTGATGCATCGGAAGGAGAGTGTCAAAGCATTACAGAGAGCATTCAGCGAGCTGTGGCCTTTAAGTCATTTGTGGACGAAATTCCTCCAATTCCAGAACCAAGTCAAGCTCGGGTCTATGATGCCCCTAGACTCCGGGATATTCGAAAACGGATTGACAACGGCACGCTTGCAGTGATCGAAACCGAGGAGACAGCAAACGGGATGCTTCCTGAAATCGCGGAATTGTCATCCGATTATCTTGGCAATACGGTTGTCCAAAAGTTATTTGAATACTGCTCAGAGCCCACCAAAGAAAAAATGTTGGCTGAAATTGCTCCTCACCTTGCTGAGATTGGCGTACACAAGAATGGAACCTGGGCTGCACAGAAGATTATCGACGTTGCCAAGGACCCGAAGCAGAAACAGATGATTGTAGAGAGTCTTCGTCCGTACACTGTGCCACTATTCTTAGATCAGTATGGCAATTACGTGCTGCAATGCTGTTTGCGCTTTGGACCTCCATATACCGATTTTATCTTTGAATCTATGCTCAGTCGGATGTGGGAGATCGCCCAAGGCAGATTTGGTGCCCGCGCTATGAGGGCTTGCTTGGAGAGCCATCATGCCACCAAAGATCAACAGCGAATGCTAGCCGCGGCTATTGCTCTTCACAGCGTCCAGTTGGCGACCAATGCAAATGGTGCGCTATTGCTTACTTGGTTTCTTGATACATGCACGTTTCCATGTCGACGTACTGTTCTTGCCCCTCGCCTAGTTCCCCATCTTGTCCATCTCTGTACCCACAAGGTTGCCTATTTGACGGTACTCAAGGTGATCAACCAAAGGAACGAACCGGAAGCTCGCGAAACAGTCCTCAAAGCTCTGTTCTACAGTGCTGGAGATGAAACGTTGGAACAAATTCTCAGCGACCAGACTTCTGGTGCAACATTTATTTTTAAAGTTCTTACAACACCCTTTTTTGATGAGAGCATGCGCACTGAAGTTGTTCAGACTGTCGCCAAAGTACTAACAAAATTGAAAACAACACCAAGCCAAGGTTATAAACGACTAATGGACGAAGTTGGGCTGTCCTCCCGGGGTGGAGGAAGCTCTCGGGATAATCATCATTCTAGGGAGAACCAAAATGCCCATAATTCTAACAATGAAAAGAACCAACGCCGACCCTCATCATCTCGACAAGCAAATGCCAATAGTTATACTTCACACTCGCAACCAGAAAGACAATTCGGTGGACAGTTTGCCCCAGTCCTACAGCCCCAGTCCTTTGATTCTCCAACTGCCATGGCACGATCTATTTCGTCAGAGCAGAGCCTTCCTCCTTATGATGTTTATGGTATGACTGCAATGAATGGCGTCAACGGACTCATGAATTTGTCTTCGATGAGCAACAACCCCGGCTTTCCCCAAGAGCCTATCCTCCCCATAAACCACCTCCAATACCAGACATTCCTCGCCTCCCAAACACGTGGTATGTCCCCTGGTGGGTTTTATGCTCCGCAGATGGCAGGGGCGACCTTCAATAGCTTTCCATCGGCACCAACTGCTCTAGACAGCTTTCGGGCCTTGCAACCGCATTCATCACCTCTTTCCGGGCCTCCACCGCAAATAAGCTCAAGTCCAATGCTTCACCAACCACCATTTGCCCCTCCTCAGTTCACTGCGGCTGTGAATAATACTCATATGTATTCTTCCTACCCACAGCAGTCCTATCAATCTCATGCCATCCAGGTTCCACCACCTGGCGGACGCCGTGGACGTGTAAGTATTCATCTCGTTGCCCTTTGACCGAATGCACTCCATATTTTCCTTCTCCGTTTTGTTCCTATTTTCTCACCTAAACCTTGGATTAAGCTGACCTATATTTTTGTTTTGATAGAGATAATTAAAACAAAATTGTGCAAAAGGAAGAATCATATTGGGATTCTGTTGTCGAACTTCTGTTCCATTTTGTTTTCTAAAGCATTTTTTTTTTTTTTTTTTCATCTGTAAATTTTTTTAGTGCAAGAGATCCCCCCTTTTCCTTTGACACATGAGATGATTTGTAAAAGAGAAACCACATGGGAAAGAGCTAGGAGTTCTCTCACCAACCCTTCCCCCCCGCGCTGGATCGTTGAGGGGTTTAAGATGATCCGAGTCTGGAGGGGTTAAACGTTTTTTTTTCAAGGGTTCTCTTACAGTTGCCACATGCGCACCCTCGTCCATCCAAAAAGATATTAGTGTACGGTGTTACTGTGACTCGATTCCCCTTTATTTTCATTGAGAGCATTGTCTTCTATCTTTGTGTATTTATTTATTCATCATCATTGTTGTTTCGCTTTTTGTTTTCTAAATACGCCTTTCTTGCTTTAACTCCAAGATCAAAACCACAAACAATCAAAGCCTTGGAGCAGTTTTCCTTTGAAGGTTATTTTTTTTATTTAAAAGATGTGACTCTCTTTTCTCTTTTACATTTCAATTTCATTAAACTCAAAATTCAACTTTTATACTGTCTCTATTGTAGTTTAATTTTAGTTTATTTCTCCATCTTATATACCTACTACAGTCCAGAGAGTACCTGAGTTATTTAAACTTATTTATTTGACAGTAGATTTGAATTAATATCAGAGATAGACTGCTCTAATTATATTGAGTCAATGAAATGGAATTCAAAAATTTAAGTAGTATAAGCTTCAGAGCTTCTACTACTTTTAGCATAGTTAAAGAAATAACTAGTTAATCATAATCAATGTACGGAGTATCTCTTTCCATAAAAGAATTAATATCCTATCACTTCTCGCTGTATTTCTAAAGCCTCAAAAGACGATTACACCTGGTGAAGTCGATTTCGAGAACAGATGTACAAACACAAGCCTGCATCTCCCCCTAGGGAATAGATAGGTCAGGGTAAATAAAATCCACCACCACCACCAGCTGTACCCCCAAGCTGCATCTTTCCTAAGGTTTTCAAGCTGTCGTATTATGTTATCACAGTAACTGTGTTGAGTCTTCCAAGTCAGAAATTTCCTTCGGCCTCCCCTAATTCGAGCCGGATGCCGACACAAGTAGCAACTATTCGCTACCACAGAGCTGCTCTGCTGCGGCAATGACAGCAAAATTTGACCTGGCCTCCCTCAATTTCATAGACTATAAGTCAAATACTTCATCAAATGTTTGGTGTTCATCCAACCTCCTTTCCTCTTTCTGCTGCACTTTTGCCTGAACAAAATCCTTCATTTGATACATTTCATCTGGGTCAAAAGAGAAAGCCGATCATCAAGAGAACTCAAAGGCTCAAAGTATCATTCATCAAGAAACATTCAATAGATCTCATCAAACATGAAGCTTTTTCTGGCTGTGAGACAAAATCAAAAGAGCCCATCTTCAATAGAGAGTGCCATTCTGTCTGATAGACACTGTGATTGCCTTAGACTTCCTTAGTGAATCTGCTCATCTTTGTGAATATTGAGTATCTCAAGGAATAGTTTGAGGCAAGGGTGGTATCAGTCCATGAAGTTGTTCAAGTCCCAAGCCTCTGGGCTTTCAAATAGGAGCCACCATGGAGCACTGTATGTAAATTCAACAGGGGTGGGATATGTATACTCCCAGTCAATGACATCAGTGATCTTCAAGCTAGACTCCATTACAAGGACATTTGATGGGTGCTAATTGTTGCAGTAGAGGTGGCATCAGTCATGTTGAACTGTGATCTGTTGTGCTATTTGCTGGAAAAGACAGTGAGCCACATATTTCTTCCAGCAGTCATCCTCATTGATGATGGCATCATTGTATTGATATTTGAGATGCTAAAACTGTTGCTCTGTCAGTTGCTGAAGATATCCAGAGGCACTTGCAAAGATGTGATTACAATCAACAAATTTGTTGAGAGAGAAATTTCTCATGTGTACAAACAAGCTCATTCATGTTGAGAGTTAGAGGCTGCTTTGAAACCCTCCACTTCCCAGAGTCCCATTTCAAGCCTTCAATATACTTAAATACCAGCTTAGAGAGCTCTAGCACAATTTAAGCGATCTCAGAAAAGGCAATCTCCAAGCCTGACTTGGAAACATCAGAATTCCAGCCTGGTGCCAACACAGAAGGATCTCAGAGGCATCTAGAAAGCAAGGTGCCCTCAATGATGGTTGTGACAATGTAAGGACCACAGTCCCATTTTCCAGTTTCAAGGACAGTCAGAATGAGGATAGATGTGTGCTGAGCAATAAAGGCCATCACCAAGAGCTCATCACTAGTTTTTTCACAGCGGAAGCGGCTTCGGCCCAGAATAGGAAACCTAACAATAACATGGAAACCATCTTCAAAGAAGACAGTACAGCACATATTGAATGAGTCAGTTGTGAAATCTGAAGCTCTAGTAGCTTGAAAACCAGGATGGATGCTGAGTAGCAAGCTTGAGGGGCAAGTCTGGGGAGTTTTGCAAAAGAAGTTTCAACCAGCCGGCATACACCTTTTGCAACTTTTCCTCCGCCAACTGATCCCAATCCATCGTGAAGCAAGGATTCTGTCAAAGGGGAACCTCACAATGTGGTAACTTCGGTATACCCGTGGGGAGTATTTGTCTTGCAGCGATTGTACTGAGTGAAATGGCGAGCTGCAAACGAGGTGAGGATATATCTAGGCGGGGGAGAACCTACTCAATGTAATCGCTTCGCCCAGCTCCCGATATTGAATATTAAATGCGCGGCAAACTTATCCTAAATCTATGAAAAGTCCTAGCTTGAGCGCGGAATCCGTTTCGAAATAGGGATAGGGATAGGGATACAGATAGTTTGGCGCCAAGTACAGTACATAAGGAGGAGCAGGAGGAGGCCAATTTATTTGCCCATGTTTTATTCAATTCCTTCTTGCATACTCTCCCTCTGAGAATGAGGATATTCTCCCCAAATTATTTGTGTTATCAATCAATTGATCTTTTTCTTTTCGTGGCCGCTTAACATTTCTTCCCCCCCGAGCATTTCAACCTTTGCCTCTTCGTATCGAATTTCATATGGTAGTTACTAGTGGTGTCATTTTGTGTGTTCAAACGTGTCCCAGCCCTTGTTTCTATCTGTTATCTTTTTTCTATATTATATTTTGATCTACACTTTTTGTCCCAATTTTCAAATGTTTGTTAGGGTTACAGTAGGCTATGGGGGTCCAGTTTGGATAAACTTTCGATTGCTCTATCAAAATATCCCTTTTTTCTTCTTGTTTTGTTTTGTTTTGAACTACATAGGCACTCTTTCACCCAGCCGTGACAGCGAATCTCGATCGATGGTGGGAGCAATTATATATAATTCCTCTGGTTGACAGTTATGGTTAATTAGATCGTTCCAATAAAACAAGGGACAAAAAGGGTTTTTAAAGAGAGAGATAAACTAACTTGCGGATTCAATGGAGGAACATAATCAACATTATATCTTGACCAACTATGCAACCGGCCAAGCAAAGAGGAGAAGAGCATCGCTTTGCCGGTCGATGAGAAGTGCAGTGTTACCGTGCGACACGTCTATATACATGTTTGGTGGAATCGATTAGCTTCTTTCCTTCGGGTTTCGGCATAGACTGAGGATGATAAGGGATATATCTTTACTGATTAAATAAACAGAAGAACGAACAGGGCAAAAACAAAAGAGAAGCGACGGATTCAAGAGTTGATGGGTACAGAAGAAAAAAATCTTACATCTCCCACTTCCCAGATATCGACAATTCTTTCGAGGCCCGGGTCAATACACTGTCCCACCAGCGCATGAAGGGAACCCATATCAACATTCATGTCGACATCTCTTACGCGGAGGATTCCTGTACCATCTCCATCTCGAGTAGAAGTAGTAGTTGTGAAACTTGTAGACGCAGCTCTGTGGATTCCTCCCCCTGCCCCTACGTGGTCTTCACCATATCCATTTTCGTACTTGTGATGCTGCGGAGAAGAAACCGTCTGCTGCTGATTATTCTGCGGGCCGATGTAGCTTGCACATGAACCAGTCCTCAGTGACGCACCATTGCTGAATTTGGTTTGTTGTTGTTGGTGTTGTTGTTGGTGCTGTTGTGGTTGATTATCATGGTGTTGCACCGGGTGCGATCTATACCCGTAAGGCGACAGTGTTTCCCCATCTTTAACAGCCCATTTGCTCATTTCCAAACCCCCAGCACCGGATGCTTTGCCGACTTTATCGAAGGCGTCGACTAATAGCTGGTTTAAAGTGATGTTTTCATCCTGCTCGCGGAGAGGTTGCCGGGAAGGGTCCATGGCGATAACAGTTTCGTTTTATGTCCCTGTTTCGATTGGCTCGTGTGGGTATACATTTGTCGGGGTTTGGCGGGGTCTTCACTGTGACATACTCCCCATGGGGTGAGTTGAGAAGCGTTGGGGGATGGGACGGCTGGTGCGTGGATGATATGGGGAACTCGGTTGGAGGAGAGACGACAATGAAATATGGGGAAAATGGGCCGGGCTTGTCTTTCACGCAAGGCATCACGTAGAGGAATGCTTGGTCCCGCAACCCCGAAACACAGCTGGGCAATCCATACCGCAGCGGAATATTCCGGGGCATTTAAGTAATAATCCTGATAATAAAAAGAAATAGGATTGCAAGAAGGGCGGTCAGAGCCTGCTTCACCTACCATCAACCCGAAAAAGGGTCTTGGTCGTAGTATCAAGTTTCAGCGGCAAAGAATCTGTTGTAAACAATGCTCATTGAGCGGAAGTGTAACCTGAAGAAATAGAGCTATTCTATGCCTCAAAGAACGGATAAGGGCCTGGTATCAAGATTGAAGAATTATCAGAAACAGAAAAGAGGAAACGCCTCAAGATGTATGCCATATTTCACATGTGAGATGCCAGAGGGGATGGCGTCTCTCTAACTCATTATCGTCATAACCCAGGAATGAAGAAGGTAGCAATAACTGTTGAAACTTCAGTGACGGTATATAAAGTACAGGGATTTGGGAATGACAAGAAAATAGGAAGGGAAATGGAAACGCAATCGCTATAATTTAATAGCCCGCTGGAACAGGAAGAGATTCCCAGTTCTTTTGCCCCTTACTGGGGTTAACCACCATTACCTGCAGCCCGCGACGACCACAGAAACCTCCAGTCCCAGCCTTGCGTTTAACCGTTTCGTAAGAACCCCCCTTTTCGCCGTTGGGAACCCAGACTTTTTCCTCCACGTCTGTTCCCGCTACTTCGGTCCGGCGGGGGTTGAACCTAGGCATACCGGCAACAGCATTTACGATAGAATGGGCCAAGGAATAGAGCCTTTCAAATCTTCGAGTGACACCAAGCCATGCCAAAGTTTGTGTGTCGTATGCAACTCGAACGTAAGGATTCATGTATATGCCTGTATCGACGACTGGTTCGTTATTGGATTCATAAGGTGGTTTTTGGATATCTGCGTGGATCAGGCAGCATTCCGAAGCATCCCAGTAGAGGTCCGACTCTGCGCGGAACCTGGCTACCGAAGACGTGCGAGGCACTGGGTCATCATCCCTCCGTCCCTGCGCTTTACGTTGCCCGGGTTGTTCGGTTTTCCCCTGCTGGAAAAACCTTGCATCAAATGCGACCATCCCCCCCCAGCAACTCCTCACACGGACGGCGTCCTTTTGGTCAAGCACATCGTGCCGGCTCTCAGCCTTCCCTGCACTAGAGAACCACGGGTAGAAAGGAACTCCCATCGAGAAACCCTCCAGGTCCCTCGTGGCAAAGGTATCATAAAATTTAAACGGGTTGATGAAATCAACAGCGCAGGCGGCACGGTACTGTGCGGTGCCGCTTTTGTCCATGTTTGTAGAGAAGAGGAGCTGGAGGGCGTCAATGGGGTCGAAGACAACATCATTGAGGTATAGGAGTTTATCGAACCGATCGCTAGCCGGGCCATCGAGGGGGCGGAGTGCTCGGTTGCGTGCCTCAGCTAGATAAGCTATCCGTTTTATGCGCTCCGAGCCGTCTGGTAGTGTGATATGAGACACTGAATTTACATCCATCCGCTCCTCGTAAACGATCGACCGCTTGCATTTGATTTTGTTTTCAAACTCCCTGAGTGCGGCTTCGCCCTCAAATCCACTGTTGCTCTCATATATGCTTAAGAATACGTTATCATCCCCTAATAACCTGATAAGTTCAAGAATATTTTCTCCCCATCTCCCCCGTGCAAGCGCGCCATCTCTATCGTATAAGCTGGCTGCAACGAACACCTTTTCGTTTCGCGGGTTCCCCCTGCCTGGGGACTGTGAATTCAATACGGTATGTCGGAGGGAATTGTAATGGGCGGGAGGATGTGTATAGGAAGGGCGGATGATAAACGTGAGGAGCAAGAGGGCGGATATTATTCCGCAGGACGCGAAACAAATAAAACAGAGCCGGCGTAAGGTAAGACGACGGCGAAACGTAGAATGCTTGCTTTTCTTCCAGGAAGTTTGGCCTGGTCGGCGACCTCGAGGGGGATGCTGTTGTCCGGTGAAGGGGAGGAGAGAACGTAATCGGGATATCAGAGAAGCGGCTTGGAGTGGATAGCTGTGGCTGGATGTAGGATGAGGAGATTCGAAATCGGCAGCGTCCAGGTCAAAGCTATCTCGAGACTCGAAGGACGAACGGTTGAGGAGTTCATACTCATCTAGATAAAGCGGTCGTGAAGACATTGCTGTGTGCGTGGGACGGCATAGATGTCTAGACATCCAGCGCGTTGACGAAATATTTACAAGCGTTAGTTCGCCCAGGCAGCGGGAATCATATGCGGAGACAATTTACCCTGCACTCCACAAGTTGTAAAGAACAACGCAGAAACCATCGATCGCCCAAATTTTCTATGTTTTCTTTTTCGATGTAGTGCCAATGAATTTCGTGGAAGTGGAGCCTTTGCGAATCATTTCGGACTTGGTCAGATAAATAAAGGGAATCGCCCTTTGTACCTCTAATCCAACTACTGAATAATGCTAAACAATCACAATAAGTTGAACTACCTTTCATACTGGATCAAAATTACCCTTGACCTTACAGATGCATGGACTACATCAGCCTCCAACTGTGCCGTCTAACTAACTGTGCCGTCCTTCGCCCAGTTTCTTAGGATGTAGATTTCCTGGTAGTTCGAGCAGTTTCCTGCCAAAGTCGTATAGCTAGCTACTCCACCTGGAGGTCTGTCCCAGCTATGCCCAGACATCCGACAAGGAGAGCATGAAGGGCACGAACACATTACGTGTGTAACGGGTTTGTGGGTCCTAGACAAATTCCTCGCAAACAATCTCCAAATGAGCCTCTCAACAGGTTCATGAATAATTTGAATTGGCTATAATACATACTACCTGCATCCCGCCGCGAGCCGTGCCATCACCATAAATTAACCCCGCTCGATATAGCCCCAATACCATCCCAGGATAACCCCCAAACAAACCCAAGAAACCAAAGACAAACAACATGTCCGATCTCAAGTTCACAAACTCAACCCAACCGGTCCCCCTCGCCGCGAACCTGAAAGCAGGATTCGTCATCGCCGCCAACCCCTCCACGGACGTCTGGGCAAAACCCCCCTCCACCCACCGCTTCAACGGGCCCATCCTCCACAAGACAGCTCCCCTCTCCAGCTTCCAGCGATCCAGCGTACACGTCCATGGCGAGTGGGCGACCCTCTACGACCAGGGTGGGCTGATTCTGGTCATGAACAGCGCCGACGGGACGCAGAAGTGGGTCAAGGCTGGCATCGAGTTTGTCGACGATAAGCCGTATGTTAGCGTCGTGGCGAAGGATCAGTGGGCGGATTGGAGTCTGTTTCCGCTGACGCCTGGGGAAGGGGCGGGCGCCAGTGCGCGGATTGAGATGGCTCGGGAGAAGGATACGTCATTGTGGATTTATTTGGTTGAGGGCGGGGAGAGAAGACGGCTTCGTCAGATTACCTGGGCATTTGCGGACGAGGAGAGGGTTGCGGAGTGTTGGGCTGGGGTGTATGCGGCGAAGCCGGCGAAGGAAGGTGGTGAGCTTGTGGTTACTTTTAAGGAGTTGGATATTGAGCTATCGGCATGAGAGCGTCGGTAGGGGGGGGGGGATTCTGTTTTTGATGTGGATGGGCTGGTTCAGGGAAAATGGAGTTTTCGTTACATGTGTCTTGGTTGCCCACAGTCTAGGGTGTGATATATTGGCGATAGATAATCTTCACATGGCGAGGAGGAAGTTGTATGTTATGATAAGTTCATACCCCTCTACATCTGGCATTGGGCCGACCTACTACTGCTTTTGAGCTGCACGTTACATGGCAAACTATGGTCACAACAAACGGCAGATGCTCTGCTCTATTATTCAAAAGGCGGAAAATGATAGTAACTGGCAGAAGTCGCCAGGGGTGATCTGATCAGCCAGATACTAGTCATTGGCTTTGCGCTGTATGAATTGAATTCGTGCCTGGAAGTAGAGATACTTCTGGCAACAAATAATGTCGCCATTGCTATCGAGTTGATATGTCTCTGAAGCAAAGCAAGCCGGTTGACCATATCTATCGTCGCCTGGAGGGGGTTATTGTAGAAATCAGTGCAACATCTTTGGATAGATGTAATCTGTACTCCGTACATACAGTAGACTGTATGTGGGTTATCTGATCTTTGCACAACATCTCCTACTAGTTCAAAAAGGGCTAGCTCTTCAAAACTTCAGGGACTGTCCAGCCAATGACACCCGCTGCCGCCTTTCCTAACTTGGCAATGGCGCCTTGTTGGGTCCACTGTGTTGCCCAGCCCCGATCCCTTTTTGGCGGCTCGGATTAGTAATGCCCCTCATATGAAGAGGAACAAATTATAGTCGATCATTCATATGTCCTCTTTATATAACATTAACACACACAAAAATATCCTGCCTACCTCAAGCACAGTAACCATGGCTCCATGGTTGGCGGATACAGATCCGGCGCTCAACGCATTATCAAAAACAGCCCCCAAGCTCATCTCCGCCGAGCCTGGTACGTTGGTAAAATTGACTCTCGCATTTTCTATTTCGACCGCATATATATTTTGCATGCCCTCCTATCTTAACGCTAATGCTTGTCACACAGAACACTGCCCCGGCCCCGAGTCCGACCAAGCAGGCAAGAGCGATGCATGCAACGGTTGTCCCAACCAAGCCATCTGCGCCGCCGCTCCTAAGGGGCCCGATCCTGACATCCCAGTAATAACCGCCCGCCTTTCCTCAATCCGACATAAAATCCTCGTCTTGTCAGGAAAAGGCGGGGTGGGGAAGTCGACATTCTCCTCACTGCTCGCGCAGGCGTTCGCGTCAAACCCGGCCTCGACCGTCGGCATCATGGACACGGATATCTGCGGGCCGTCGATCCCGAAAATGATGGGGGTTGAGGCCGAGACAATCCACATCACCAACGCGGGCTGGAATCCCGTGTGGGTGTCGGACAACCTCTCCGTGATGAGCGTGCAGTTCATGCTACCAAACCGTGACGATGCGGTGATATGGCGCGGCCCGAAGAAGAATGGGCTCATCAAGCAGTTTCTGAAGGATGTTGAGTGGGGGGAGCTAGATTACCTGATCGTCGATACCCCGCCGGGCACATCGGACGAGCATCTTTCGGTGAACTCGTTCTTGAAGGAATCAGGGGTCGACGGGGCGGTGGTGGTGACTACACCACAGGAGATGTCGTTGTTGGATGTGAGGAAGGAGATTGACTTTTGCCGCAAGGCCGGGATTCGCATCCTGGGGCTCGTGGAAAATATGTCCGGTTTTGTCTGCCCGAAGTGTACGCATGAGTCTCAGATCTTCCGTGCTACGACAGGTGGCGGTGCGAGGCTGGCGAAGGAAATGTGTATCCCGTTCTTGGGCGCTGTGCCGCTGGACCCGAGGGTGGGGATGGCCTGCGATTTTGGGGAGAGCTTCATGGACAATTTCCCTGACAGCCCTACGTCTGCTGCATTGAAAGAGGTGGTGAGAAGCATTGGGAAACTTGTCGGGGAAGATCCTGATGAAATTCTTCCTAATGCTGGAAGAACTTAGAACGATGATTTCACATCGTTCCCCGTATGAGATTTTTTTTTTTTTTTTTTTTTTTTTTTGCTTCTCAGAATAAAGCGTAATGAATTGCTATTCGAGAGCTTTAATATGGGCATATGAGGGAGGAATCGACATATCGATCTCAGGTGCATTTACAACAGGAGCATGGCGTTGGGAATTTTTTCATAGACAGTTGTGCGCATTCATGTGGAGGATGGTATTGCTTTTCTCCCCTCACTTTCCCCTGTATATTAAAGAATGATGATGACATTGGATCACCGCTAAAACAGGAATAAATGCCAGTTATACGATGCTCTGGTAGAGATATTATACACCCATTGTTCGTTCAATATTCGTTCAACATTAATCCCGTCCGCCAGGCTATCTTGTCGACTATATCATCATGTATACTTCCATTTCTTACGTGCAACGTGCAACGTACAACTTGTATGTACAGTACAATGTACCATTTTAGCGGAAAGGCATACCCGCAAAAAGTTCGCTTCACCAGGCATGTCCAGAACTCGTCTGAAATGC